TCACAACCAAGCTCTGTGATAAACGTGATGATTTTATCTTTTCAGCCTTCAACTTCCCTTACTTTTTCAGCATACCTTCATCACTTGCATACGGAGGTTATTTATCTCAGTTGATTCGATACGCAAGAGCATGCTTTCTGTTAATACAATTTTTAAAACGAGGTGAATTATTGACAAACATATTCATGAAACAAGAATATCAGCAATCTCGTTTAAAGACATCATTTTGTAATTTCTTTGGCCGATACAATGATATTGTCAGCAAATACAATTTATCATATAGTCAAATGCTGACTGTTTTTTCATACTTTTCGTTAGTATGAATTGACGACGGATTTTTCCGTTATTTCCCGATCAATACAAGGAGCACACAGCGGGTGTGACCGTTCAGCATAGGATGCTCACTTCTCCATGGCTTTTGATCCCATCTCTGATGTTTCGGAGGTCCGTGTTTGCTCTGCTCCTATTTTGTATTGTTTTACGGATTTTTGATCTTGAATACTGTTCGTTACATCCACATGTTTCATTGTTTGGCTATTATTACACACTTATATTCCGTTAATTCGAATCTCCGACCATGACAAAGAGCATACGACGTGTAGACCTGTCGGCAAGGAATGATCAGTCATCCATGGCACCTGCTCCCACCCCTGGTGATTCAGAGACTCGTGTTTGCTCTGCTTCTAATTAATTTGCATTGTTTGAATGGACTTTTCAGCTTGAATACGGCTCGTCGTCTACATATATTTCATGTATGAAGGTGAATTATAACAAATCTCCATACTGTAAATATATATATATATATATATATATATATATATATATATATATATATATATATATATATATATATATATATATATATATATATATATATATATATATATATATATATATATATATATATATATATATATATGGTTCTCTTCATAACCTCCACGAAAATTTTTGATTTCACAATATTAAAAAGTATGTTTGTCATAGCTTTATATCAAAACCATGTCTTTGATTGCATATATTTTGCATACTTACACTACAAAATAGACTTACTGACTTACAGTGCATTGTGAAATAATTACCCTACATTTGACTTAATAAAAACATATTTTCCAATAGTGGGCAGAATTATTCACCATAGGTTTGTAATATAATTTTTTTCGTGTACCACATATGACAAGAAGATGTCCTTTCTATATCCATCTGTTTTCGACTGTTGGTCATTCTGCCATTCTGGGCCACCGAGGGCTAAATTCCCCCTCCCTTGTAATTGGCAGTGCTGGTTCAAGTGGATCCCTGCGGGAGGTGCCCGGACCTTTCACGTGGTGTCTGTCATTACGGACCGCACGGGCCACGCCCCCTTACTTGTTTTGCCTCCCCTTTCCAATGTGTGCAATTGCTCGGAAATCTGCGTCAACTCTAATTGCCGCTTATTAAGAGTGGGGGTTAAATATCTGCGACCTTTCATTGCTTCATTGCTTTCTTCCTCGTTTTGTATTTTTAAAAAGTTTCTGTTATTAAAATTTGTTGCCAATCGCAAACCCTAGAGGTATCTATAAAACATATTAATTAAATGCTTTTCTTCATTTTGTAAAATTTGTGAAAAACATCAAGACAGAAACGTTTACATCAAGACAGAAACGAACATGTACATTCATGTACATGAAATGGTAAAATTGTATAAAAAAAAAAAAAAAAGGAAAAAAAAAGGGCAACATGGTCAATGGCCCTGGTGTTAGGGCGGGGCTCTGGTGATTCTGTATTGAAAATGCACAAATTCAAATCTTCTTCTCTTCCCATGTATACTTTGCAGATAAAATTACTCTTTGAAAATGTTCATTAATGTGCCTGAACATTTAGAGTCAAACTACTATAGTACATAGTTACGAGGACTGTTAAAAAATAATGTCCTGAGCAGTGACATATATACTTAGAATTAGAAATCATATGGCACTAAAAAAATAAGCTTGACTTTCTCTCATGATTGAACCTTTAATGAATTGGTAACAGTTTGTGTGACCACTTTTCATCACATAGTTTCATAGTGAGAAGCTGGAAAACAAGGGCTATTCGAGACACTACATTAAAAATGAATATTAAAGAATCAGTAAACTATAGTGAAATTAAATGCTTCGTTGAAATCGCTGTAAAACATGTTAGAATTCCAAAAGAAATATTCATTGAAATATGTTGAATTTACAGCAACCAATGTCTGTTTTAAAGACAAATGAGCAGGTGGATTTCAATGAACTAAAATGGTGTAATGGGCATCAAAAATGGGTAGTGTCCTTGGCAACAAGGACTCACAACAACCAATGAACTGTTTGCCAAAATTCAACATATAATCCCTGATGATGTTTGATTTGCTTGAAGGCACATAGAAAATTGATAGGAACCATTTTGGATGTAGATAACACTGTTTCAAAGAAACATTTGACAGTAAGAAAGCTTATTACTCAATGGTCACCCTATATTTTGAAAAATGAGTGAAAACTACAGAGTGTTAGAATATCTAAACAATTGTTTTCAAAAATCAAAATTTGTAACTATCTATGCTTGTCTGAAATTCAAACAGATAATGAAACTTGAATCCATTGCTTTAAACCCTCAAAACAAACTTACAATAAATCCACTTAACAAAGAAGACAAAGTTTTAGAAGAGCAAAGAATTGCAAGAGCACAAAAACAGCTTTATATGCCATTTTCTTAAATATTAGTGGTCTTGTTGTAAAACTTTTATTCGGAAAGGCAGTTCAATTCCTGGTCTTGTTTCATCTTTCTGAAAGGTGTTTTTCAAGTTTGGAAAGAGAAACAAGTCAACGGCTAAAAGATCTTGCGAATATTGTGGGTGTGACAAAATTTTAACTCTCTGCTTATCCCCCAAACTCCTTAACTCTTCATGGCGTATGGGTTTGGACGCTTTCATGAAGAAATTTTATGTAGTGGTTTCCTGATTCTGGTTCCTTCCTTTCATAAACCTTTCGATTTTTCTTTTGCAAAAACTTTGCTTTCTAGACTCCTCCAGAAATTGATTTTTTTTTTTTAATAATTGTTCAGATATATTTTTACATATTGTCATTTTCAAAACATAGGATGACCATTGAGTATCAAGCTTTTTTTACTGTCAAGTGTTTAGAACTTTGAAACAGATTTAACTACCCCTAAATTGATGCCTATTTAATTTGCTATGTCTCTAATGGTCAATCAAACATCAAGAGTGATAACTTGTTGAATTTTGGCAAACAGTTCATTGGTTGTTGTGAGTCCTTGTCGCCAAGGACGGTAACCATTTTTGATGCCCATTAAATAATTTTTGTTTATTGAAATCCACATGCTCGTGTCTATAAAACATACATTGGTTGATGTAAATTTCACATATTTCATATTTGGGGGGGGGGATTCTTAGGAAGTTTTACAGCTGCTGTAACGAGACGTTTAATTTCACTCTAGATTACTGATTCTTTACCATTCATTTTTAATGCAGTGTCTCGAATAGCCCTTGTTTTCCAGCTTCACACAATGAAATTATGGGATGGAAAGTGGTCACATTAATTGTTTTCAATTCATCAAAGAGTCAATAGTAAGATAAAATCAAGCTTAATGTCAAATGATTTCTATGTTGTATGTCATAGAAATCAGGACACTATTTATTGAACAGCCCTCGTATGTCAATAAGAAAAAAATTCTCCTAAATATATTACAATTGAGATGCAGCTTTTAATTTTTAAGAACACGAAGACGACTTTTGCCACACACATCACGTCCCGGGGGAGTGGAGGATTAAATATTTCCGTAGAGTGATAAAAACATGTGTAAACTTTGATGCGGATAACAGGAGAGGAGACAGTTTTTTTTTCATTTAATATTAACCCGCCTTCTCCTAATGATTCCAGGTAAAATATAAATACACTATACTGGTCCATTGTTCGATATAGCTTTCACTTCCAAAGAGAAATAGGCATAAAAATCTTCGGTCAATGAAAGACGTTTCGTCCGTGCTTTAATTAAATCATTAAAATTTACGTCAGAAAATCGTTTTCAGTAAATTCTAGTATTTAAAAAAGAAGGGATAAAAATTAAGAAAGATTAAAAATTTTGTGAATCTGGAACTTGAATTTTCGGTCCTATCAAAAAAATTAATAAAATGAAATAAAACAATAACTAGGGTATACTATCTTAAGTATTCACGCAAGAAAAGTCCTTGATCCTTCTCTCAAACGATATTTTGTTTTTCTCGAATTAATTATTACTCCGAATGGAATTCCTCTCCTGTATTACACAAATTATTTTTCAATGTATTATGTACTTATAGGATATTATTCTTGAGATAAGAAAAAAAACAAAAAAGAAAAGAACTAAGCATCAAACTTTTTTCAACTTCCGCTGACTGTTTGACAAATTTTACATTTAGAGTAAATAATATTTTATCAAAGTGGCCTTTTCTACGTAAGATATTTTGAAATTAAAATAAGTAATTCTTTTAATTCTACCGATGTATTTAAAATTGAATTAATTAGAAGAATAGTTTTAGAAAAATAAATCAGTCCCAAAAAAGCGATTATTTTTTTTAGCATTATATGAGTAATTTTGAATCGAGAATTAAGAATTTTATTAAAAACACAAACGAAATTGGCTTAAACTCATAAAAAAAAAAACGTATACGATTCATTAATCGGTTTATGTATTAATCGGAACATTAAATTCAAGAATTTTTTTTTGAATTTTGAAAAGAATCAATGAAAACAATTAAACAAATGTCTTTGTACATAGTATATAGTGTATAAAGTTAAAAAGCATCAATTCTAAAAATTCATTCAAGTTGTAAAACAAGCATTAAGACCAATAATATTTCTCAAGTAATACTAAATATAATTGTATTTTTTTCTTTCATCAAATGAATTCCTTTCTTATTTAATGTTAACATTTATGCAAAATTTTCGTCATATGCACAATTTGCATAAGAACTGTCTAAAAGATATCTTTAAAGAAACAATGTACACTGATGAGTTAGCACTAATAAAAAGTCTTTGAATATGTCACTCATTAGAAATATATATCCACATAATCAGTAAAATAAAATGCTATGAAGTCCGATGAATGAAGTATGGAAATGGAAACTGATTTATAAAGGTGGTTGAATCACATGTCTCTGTGACGCCGATTGCAGCATCGGAGCTGAAGGTCGAAAACTAGAAGATGACGATGTTCTGCAAGAACAGAATGAAGAACAAGAGGACAAATGGGGAGGCACCGAATGTCTCAGACTGTGTCCAAAGGACGGGGGGTAGCCGCTGGGCAGGGGGAGGGGATAGGCTGCAGGTCCGTAGAGCGAGGTCCCAGGTGTATGAATGTACGGTAACGGTACAGTAGTGGCGGACTGGCGCTGGTTCGAAGCCGAGGAACGGTAGATTTCATCCAATAGCCGTTTCATTTCGTCCACTGACTTAGTCAGAGTTTGGATGTAGTTTCTGGCGAGGGTCAGTGTAGCAATTTTGGATAGTTTACGTACGGATGGTCCTTTGGCGTACGGCATAACTTCACGTAAGTTATCCATAGCCAAATTTAGATCGTGCATCCTCTTTCGTTCTCGGCTATTTATCTTGGCCCGCAACTCCGTTATTTCCTCGGGGTCTAGTCCTCGCAGAGTGTAGCTTGTTTTACGTTTTCTGGACGTTGATTTTAATTTTTTATCATCTTCTATTTGGTATTCCTCTTCTTCATCATTCATAATATCTACAAACTCTGTATGTTCATCCTCTGAATCAGACATTCTTAGCATTTACTGTCAACTTTTCTCTCTTTCTTCACAAAATAGAATAATCACCATCAGCAATACATCAAATTTCTTCCAATCTTTATTTTGTTTACAAATAGTTTCTTTTTATCATCTTTGACTCTACGTTTTAAAAATGGGCGTGGCGTTTTCGGTGGAAGAGCGGCACTGGGTTGATTTGTTCAAGTGGTCCGAGTTATCACGCCCCGCTACAAAAGGCGTTAACGGGGCTTTTTCAATATGCCTAATTTAGAACCCATTTGTTGGTCGGCTTCGCACCTCTCCCGTTTACTAGTGGTCAACGTTAAATGGTCACGTAGATCAAACGACACGACCTCTGATGTCGTAAAAAAGTTTAAAGTTACTTCGATTAATTTTCAAAGGTTTTTCTTCACAACAATGTGATACGTAAAGTAGCTTTATAAAGTTGATTAAGAGTTTAGTTATTGTTGTTTACGTTAAGGATTAGCGGAAAGATGAGTACCGTTTAAGGGATTAAATTTATTGTGTTTGTCTGTCTGGAAGTTCTAACAAGCGAAATTCGAAGATTAAAACAATCTGTCTGTTCAACTTTCAACGGTGAATACTGTATCACAGTAAAATACATCAGATGTGAATCTTCAAACTAATTATAAAAAATACGTGCCATTCTCTAAGCAAATATTTTCTTTATATAGTAATGTTCCTCTTCAAAAAACTTCAATTGTTATTAATGATATGCATAAAGAGAACAAAGATTCAATTAAAATTGTATTCCACAATGCAATTGGTAAATTCAAACCATTGTAAAAAGAGAACAATCAATCCATATTCCTAAAATTAAAACGGTGCGCAAACTTAATTGATTTGTTAAACCATTTTTTTTTTGTTTAATTCTCGAAATGATTCCTTAATGCAATTGGTAAATTCAAACCATTGTAAAAAGAGATCAATCCATAGTCCTGAAATTAAAACGGTGCGCAAACTTAATTGATTTGTTAAACCATTTTTTTGGTTTAATTCTCGAGATGATTCCTCAATGCAATTGGTAAATTCAAACTATTGTAAAAAGAGATCAATAAATTCATATTCCTCAAATTAAAACGGTGCGCATACTTAGTTGATTTGTTAAACCATTTTTTATCAATTTCTCGCGCTGATCACTTTCCTTGGCCTAGTCCGTCCCCTAATTAGTTAACACAGTGACAAATTCTATTTCACCAACATCTTGAGGATTCTGTTTGCTACATAATGTGTAAAATGTGGCACTGTCGTCCCTCCCACCTGTTCCATTGTGGGGAAAATTACAACCCCCACGTGTGTACCCCAAAATAACGCCGCGGCCATTGTCCACGGTTTGGTGCTACTTAACTCTCCCTAGGGACACCGAGGCACCACAACAGACTAACAGTCAGGGTCGTGTAGTTAGCCGCGCGGACCCTCTCTCCTCAGGGCAGTCACTGTCCACTACAACTAGGGGGCGTTCCCTGGACCTCCTTGTAAACGAATTCCCCACACAAGTGTATGAAATCCCCTAAATCTGCTGAAATACTGGTCAATTGACGATTAATGAGGCTTTCTAGATCAGTTTAGCCTCAAGTCAACTATCGGAGTTTTAGTGTATAGAGGATATGTTGATTAGCATAAAGAAACAAGAGTGATATTTAACTTACACTTTACTACACATTGTTAAAAAAAAAAATCCATGATGATAGGCGATGATTGTTTACAAAATTAACCAACACAGTAAGTTGAATCATAACTCATTGTATGCATAACAAATAGAATCAACAAAAGCCTAAATTTGGCAATTTAAATAGTAGATAGGGCATGGTCTCCATTTCAAAGAAATATCATTAACAATGACTATCATACATGTAGTAATCAAATGTTATAACTCAATCAAATCATATCCCCATTCTCTCAGACACTGAGATTCAAAAGTAAAAAAAAAATATCAAACTTTTAAGCTTCTTGTGTGTGCCAGTGGCATCTAAGCAAACCAAATAGTATACAATACATTTATGTATTAGAATACAGTGAAACAAAAATTTAATTAAAGTTTTGGGGAAAAACATTAATATAACATTTATGAAAAGTTGAAACTGATCCTTGTAATTCTGTGGGTTTCTCAAATATCCAGAAGATTCAATTAATATGCTGACAAATTAATTGGTCATGGGAAAGTAAAATTGTGGATAAGGAAGACCAAAGAAATCCACAGACTTACTGAAATAATTCTTCTAGTGCACTACATATTTTATCATTACTGATCCCTTTTTGCAGAACTGGTACATTGTAAGACTTGAATATACACTTTAAATGTTATACAAAATCTTAATTATTAACATGACTTTTTTTCTGCTAAGTTTTAACTTATTATCATTAAACAATATTGCACAAATGTTTGCCTTGCATCATCAATGAATCAGTACTTTGTTTACATTTACATGTATTATATGAGATATGAGAGTGTTTAATTCACAACAGAGTTGATCATCAATGTTTATTACATATTTTTCAGTAATGAAACATAATAGTTACTGCCACATGTAACAGTGTAAATTAAGAAAGAGTCAACATATAAAAATGGCAAATAACACAATGATATAGAAAACATGCAAGATATTTTTGGCACCACTACTGGTTTTCACACAATCACCACATACACACTAGTTTCTACTGGGCTAAGTATCTTCCCCGTGCTGTAATACAGAGTTGTTCTGTGTCCCCTTGTCCAGACCTCTGTACAGTATAAAATATTCTCATCCCCAGAGATCCTCAGTTCTTCCAAATTTGAAGATCAAAGAACTGTAAACAGCAAATTTACATAAAAAATAGGTGATTTTATTAATTAAAAATTTCAAAAGGCTTCAATGCCTTTAGTACAAGGTCCTGTAGTGCCCTTTCAAGAATTTGAAAATTCTACATGGAAAAAGTACCAAACTATTGAAATTTAATTGCAGATGACTTACAACTGTGTTTTACTGTTAAATGGATTGTAGTTTATGCTTATTCCCCACTCATATCTATATGACTCTTTCTAATATTCATATCCCATTTTTCAAATTAAGAAGTACTGGGTAAACAAATTTAATGTGTATACAATTTGGGAATTTTAAGCTTAATTCTGGGGAAAGGGGTCAAACAATTAGGACAAGGCACTTTTACTGAACCTGGATGCAATGGATATTTAGCTCTATTTTTTAAATTTATTTATTTTTGGCAATATTATGAAGATCAATTTGTAAATTATAAGTTTACATGAATATTTTTCTTGAGAGTATTGATATTATAATTTTATAACAGTGTGCTCCATATAGAAATCAGGAGTGATGGTTTATAAAAAAGATATGGATAATGTTGGAATATTCAACTTGATGAAAATTGTTTTGATTTATTAACAGTGCATACTATGGTACCTTAATGTTGCTACTTTTAACCATTCTGTAATATTACCTGAAGAAAATGAGGGCATTCTGTAAAAATACAGCTACTCCAGGCCAGTCTGGGATTCCTATAACAAGGAAAACACAGTTAGTATAATGTAGCTGTCCAAACTAATTGTCTAATGGTAAGATGTAATAGAGGGACAAGATTATCATCTAATAAAAATGCATTTGTTCCAACACAAACAAAGCCTCAATGACAGATTTATCATTTATCAACAAATGCCAGTCTATGTACAGACCTGGGTTATTGACCACGTAGAACCCAAACAGGATCCAGGACGCTGCGATGAGGGCCCCGAACCCCATCAGGAATCCAATAAAAAGCCACACCCGCGCCGCAGTCTGACCCAGGCAGCCGTCCGTGTAGCTTTCTCCTCTTATCTGACCATTGGACACAGAATTTATACTGGAAAAAAAAGAGCATTCGATTCAATTACATAGGACCTGTATTTTCACATTCCCCGACGAAACATGTTCAACGTTCCTGATTAACAAATTCTTTTGCTTCTTTCATAGAGATTATATTTTGATTAACTCTCTGAAAGCTTTTGGTAGTGATTGTTAATTTACTGAGGATATTACATGTTACTGATTTAGTTGTTTTCTGTACACTTACAAGAAAAACGCTAGCGTCCCAAACACACCACACGTGTGAAAGGCATGGTTGAAGTCCTTCTCATCAGGGTAGTTGGCTGCAGCATCTATAACTATCCACCATCCAGTGAAGAACTGCATAAAAATAAACAACAAAAGTTATGTTAATCGGACATCATGTTGAAAGTCTGAAACTTGAAAATTGATTAATATTCTACATTTGGAGACTCTCATTTTTTATAATGTTTGCAACCACTGATAAGATTAAACAGGCCTTTACCACGATTGTATTTAGACTATTCTTAACGTTTCATTTCCATCAAAACAGACGAATTTTAGTCTTTGATTTTTAACTAATATGGAAAAACAGATATACCCATTATCTGTATTCATAATTAATTATAATTTTTAAAGAACTTTAAGTTAACCATGTCAATCTTCATCAGTACACCATTTTTATTTTGTCAATGTCATCCTCTGTGTCATTAAAGTCTATCTATATATAGATATTTCAATTTGATAAATTTTAAACATATCTATTTTTTTTTTTTTGGTCATGACCACTAGGACTTAGCTGATCTGTAGCTCACTGATCTAAAATTAAAATTGGGATGAACATCCAGAGCTACAGTGACATCTGCACAAAGCATGAATTATCTTCCAAATTAAAATGGCAAATGCTTTGTTAACAATAATTTTTTGTTGATTTTTAGTGCATATTTTCTGGGCACTGGTAAAGTAGAATTGTTCCAAGTGAACTTTTTGATGTCCTCAATTTCAGGGCCAGGAAGGGTATGAACAACATACTCTTATTGAAAATTTTGTTGTGGAAACAATGAATAAAGATGTTAGGAACACAAAGTTAGTAATATTTTCAGCTGAAAGTTTTAGAAACATAGAGAAATAAATCGACAAACTGCTTTTGTTTTGTGCGCAATAAATATACATTCTTTCCAATGACACTGTAGCTTACCGGTCTGTCAATATTTTTTTTCGGAGAGCTACAGTTCTGCAGCTAACTAGGACTACACCCAACATACTTATTACTAGCTAGGGGTACTCATTTGCTGTGATAAAAGTAAATAACTTGCTCCGTGTGTAGGTACAATGCTGTGTACATAAGTTGTGTACAGATACTCACAAGAATGCCTGAGATGATGGAGACGACCGCATTCCTACGTTCTCCGAGCTCTATACAATCACAGCGACAGTGACAGTTGTCCAGAAATCCTGACATCTTGTGATGACGAATAGCCACACGATGTTTTTTTCACATTAGGTAACTCGCAATATACCAATGAAAAACCCAATCTAATGTTAAAAATCAATCTTTCTAAATCTAACGTATCTTTTCTGCACAAAAATTCAGAACCACCAACAAATTCAATATTTTTCAAGCCGTCGGTGAAGCCGAAATGAAAATAAATAAAAATGTCTGAACCATATCCGGTTAGGTGGACCAAACCGGACTAACCGTATATTTCCGGAAACTTTTTCAATGCTTGCAATACTCGGGAAGAGAAGCGAGTACATGTATGTTAAAAATTTTATGCCCCTGTAATCGAAGATTCGAGGGTATATAGTTTTGTCGTGTCTGTCTGTCTGTTTCTCTGTTTATCCGTAAAAACTTGAACCTTACTCATAACTTTTGATTTAGTGGAGCTATGACTTTCAAATTACACGTAATTGTGTATTCCTTGTGACAAGATCTTTCTTTGGGTACAACCAGAATTGACCACTTGACCTTGAACTTTGAGTTTGACTCACTTGTGCAGAAAAATTTACTACTTACTTTGGCCATAACTTTTAAACGATAGCTAGGGCCTACTATGTAAGACTTTCATACTTCACATATGTATTCTTTGTGGCAAGACCTTTCATTGGATACCAACAACTTTGACCTTGATCTTGGAGATTTCCGTACTTATGAAAAAAAAAATTAACCTTGGCTATAACTTTTGAACGATAAGGACATAGACCTATGTAATCCTTGTGCGAAGACCTTTCTTCGGAGGCCAAGAACGTTGACCCTTTGATTTTGGAGTTTGACCTATTTTTAAATATCAAACCTTGACAATAACTTTCGAAGGGTTGGGGTTAGGGCTTTCATTCTTCATATACTGTAAATGTATTAGTGTATTGGTATTTAGTGTGTTTATTCGATAATTAACAAAATAAATTGACCTGTGTTTGAACAAGTAAGCGTAGATTTATTTTTTAAAACGCATTTAACATTGTTCATGGTCAAGCGAATTTATATTTATAAGACAAACTTGCTGTACGTGTCATTTTTTTCACAACCTTACTTATACTATAGGAAATGTTAATTGAAAAACCTGGCTTTGGCCCCCCAATGTTTGAAATTAATAATGACTTTTAGTGATATACCGAAAATGTAGTATTAAAATTGGTATACTAAAAGTAGCTCTAAAAGTAGTTGAAACTGAGAAAAAAGTTTACCTTTTACCCCCCCCCCCCCCCCCCCCCCCCCCCCCCCCACGAAATAGGATTTTCGATTTTGGGCAACTTTTTCCTTTTTTTTTTTTTGCTTGTCAAGTTTTTCAGGTAAGTAAAAAAAACAATTTTTTTTTAGCTGGCCTGTGATTACCCCCCCCCCACTTTCAAAAACGATGCTACGCCACTGTCGTTCTTATTTATGTACAAAACATTTAGCGTTGTACTTGAATTAGCGGATGTGTCTTTCCGCCAAAAGCGCTAAAAAAAGAATACACAGCCAAATGTAATACGTTTACAGTATTTAATCTTTGTGATAAGACCTTTCATTTGACATCAATTATAAAGAACTTTGACCCTTTTACCTTGACCTTGCAGTTTCACCTACCTTTCAAAAACATTAACTTTGGCTACAACTTACGAACGGTTAGGGCTATGGATTTCATCTTTCACGTATGTAATCCTTGTGACAAGACCTTTCTTAATAAACTAACAACTTTGACCCTTTGACCTTGGAGTTTGAACAACTTTCAAAAACTTATCCTTGGCCGTAAGTTTTAAACAAGTGTTGATAGGGCTTTCATATTTCAAAAATATATTTCTTGTGAAAAAGACCCTCTTTTGGGTACCAATATATTTAATTTGCAATAAAGAACAGTTTAATTTTCGGTACGTAACCATACGGGGCATCAGTTTTCCACAAACACATCTTGTTTTTAATTTGAAATCGATTTCAAGGTCTTTATTTATTTGACATCATCTCAGGAAATTGATGAAACAAATTTTTCTGGTGAAAACAAGTTATTTTTTTCAAGGGCCTGTGGTGATGATGTCAATATTAAAGGCACAAGATATCTTTAAATTTGGAAAATGTTCTGTTTATTTACGACCATTTGGACATGAAGCGCGAAGACGAATCCATTTATATTAATGGCCCGTCCAAGTAATTTTTTCTTTTAGGGGGTGGAATGGAGGTGGGGGGTTAGAAGAGATTCATAATTAATACAAGGTAATTCAAAGTTTAAAAACTATTATATCAGCAATCCAATGGCCTTCCGATGGCCTTTTAATTATTTCTTTGCTTGTAGATTTATGGATAATCACATAAGAAGTTTGTTAGATTGATCTAAAGATATTGCTGTGTTACTCATCTGTTCAGACGATTTCCACAGTGCATGTATGTACAGGTATGCAATATACGAGTCCGTTAATTTTTTTTTTTAAAATGAGCTCGAGTCTGATTAAATTTTTAGTTATTTGGTTTTTAATTAATTGAGCAAACTAGCTTAAAAATAATGCCGATTTTGCCCTCTCTCGACTCGTAGTAAAAACAAAATTGGGTCGGTAGGCATGTGTAAGTGGGAAAATCTGGCTTTCAGAAAATTGTGAAATATTTGTGTACGGGGTAAAAAAAAATTTCAGGGATAATAAAAAAAAATAGCAGATGGCTTCGAAGGATAAAAAAAAGTTTGAGTCGGGTCACCTTTAGCCAGTCGGTTGAGAGAAAGCAAATAAACAAATAAACAATTGAAGATGGCCTTTTAATCATTGATAATTTTTGTTAGATTTTACTTAATTATGGAATATATCGTCAGTATTCAAATCACAGGATCAAAAGTAAATAAAAAAAATTTAAGGGTCAAAAGCGTAAATAAGGATGTGTGTGGGAAGGGTGGTTTTATCTATCTTTAAGCACAAATAAGTGTCCGAACATTCTTGCGAAAATAAAGCTTACATACATAAACTCACCTACATCACCAGTCTCTGTACCCTTACTTTGCTTTCGAAGTGTATAAATAGAAATGAGAAAACAAGCCTGTTCATACATTTATTACTTGGCCTGGACTATAATCGATGTCATTACATAAAAATCTTCTCAAACAATATAAAAACATTCCAAACTCTGAACGTATTTTTTGATTAAGCTGATAACCACTTTTCTTCTCTGCTAGCAAAGACAAAGAAAATGCAGCAAAACAGAACATCGTCATGATCACTAAAGTCGATAAGGCAAATGTGTCCCACACACTCACAAATTTATTTTCAAAAATTAAATTGTTAATATTATTTTTACGCCGACAGAAATCATCAACTATCTCGTATACATACACAGTTATTGTAGCAAATAATAGAATATCGCACTCAGGGTAACCCTGCCGAAAGCCAATTTTTGTGTAAAAGTCATTTCTTGTTACATTGGAAATGTATACCATTAAAGTCAAAATACACAAGGTAATGAAAATCACATTGACGCAAATTTCTACGAACGAATCAGTATTACTAAATTTGTGGATAAGTGGAACATTTGCAACAGCATATAGAACTACTACAAACACAGACTCTAGCCGTGATGCATATTGAAATATCGAACTAAACGCAGTGGTGCAGTAAAATGCAGTCGCTAACTTCGCTGCTACAACTTTAACTGTTGTTTGCACACAAATGTCACTGAAATATCCGGACCAATCATAATGGTAGTTTGTAAGAGTCATGGCCAGTCCTGCGAGTCCTAGACACATGGAGTCAAATTGTCTGAAGATGAATACCGTTGATTTCTTAGATGTGGAGACAAAAAAATAGCTAACCAGCTTCCCAATAAAAATAAATATAAATAAAGTCACAGTCACTGTAAAATTCCACATGTATTTTTTGGAATAAAACGCATCCATTACAATTTCAGAAAAATACAGATGAAAAGATACAACGAGTCCGAAAATAGCACAAATGACACAAATACATTGTCCAAGAAAATCCTCCGTGGGACGTTGCATTCTTTTCACTGTTGGTGCCAAAGTTGTCAAAGGCATATTGTAATCTGAAAAGGGAAAATTATTACACAAAGTATATGAACAATATGCAGCGTTATACACAAGACGAATAAACACGGAAGGCCGAACAACTTGGTTCATCCTTAGCTGTTACATGTGTTATATAACATATCGTCTACCCGTGTAACCGTTCGCGCGCTATGCCCCAGGGATACCGCTATAGTATTTTAATATTCATTAATAATATTAACATCAACTCATGTCATTTACGAAGTGGTGAATTCTGTCAGACTTATATTTTATACAAATTCACAATATATTTTTTCATGTATAAAACTAATATTTATGAAATGTTATGCCGAAAAAAATACCCCAGTCTCATAATATGACAGGATAGGTAATTCAAATGATTCCTTGATTGTGAAGTATCTTAAGGGAAAAGTGTCATTTTTAAACATAAATCGAGATATGAGTACGAATTGGTCATGTCATCAAATTCTATAGAGCTCGAATGTGCCATCAAATCCCATAGAGCTAAAATGTGCCAAGAAATTCCATAGATCCTAAATGTGCCATCGAATCCCATAGATCCTGAATGTGCCATCAAATCCCATAGAGCCCGCATGTTTTATTGGTAGATAAGACCAGGTCTAGTTTATTTAATCGGTGTGCTTTATGAATGAAAAAATGTCTTGAATGGGACGTAAAACACCATACAATCAATTAATTAAACCTCAAAAGTAAACCGTCATAATTGTAAAATTTTTAGCTCACCTCAACGAAGTTGGGGGAGCTTATGTAATACCCTCGGCGTCGGCGTCGGTGTCGGCGTCCACGTCGGCGTCCCAAGTTAAGGTTAAGTTTTTTGGAGCAGTTTTCTTTTTAAGTACTTCTGTGTCCTTTATTGATTAGACATGCATGGAAGATGGTTCTAGTGTGTTTCATTGTACCAGTCAAAGTTTCAGATGCTGCAATTTCAGCAAAGGAATGACCAGGTTAATGTTTTTGTAGCAGGTTAACATTTTTGGTGCAGTTTTGGGTGTAGGTTTCATTTCCAAGTAACTATAAGCCCTATGTTGACCAAACTTGCAAGGATGATACATCTAAGGATGGATACTACCGGGTTTTGCTTCGGATGCTGAATCTGACCTACATTTTCCGGTTGAGCGAACAGGTTAAAGTTTTTAGAGCAGGTTTAATTTCAAAGTAACTATAAGCCCTATGTTGACCAAACTTAAATGGATGATACATCTACGGATGGATACTACTGGCTTTGCTTCAGATGTTGAATCTGACCTACATTTTCCGGTTGAGTGAACAGGTTAAAGTTTTTGGTGCAGGTTTCATTTCCAAGTAACTATGTGCCCTATGTTGACCAAACTTGCATGTATGATGCATCTAAGGATGCACACTACCGGGCTTGCTTCGGATGCTGAATCTGACCTTCATTTTCCGGTTGAGTGAACAGGTTAAAGTTTTTAGTGCATGTTTCATTTCCAAGTAAATATATATAAGCCCTATGTTGACCAAACTTGCATGGATGATACATCTAAGGATGCACACTACCTGGCTTGCTTCGGATGCTGAATCTGACCTACTTTTTCCGGTTGAGTGAATGGGTTAAAGTTTTCATCAAGAGATGAAAATTCTCAAATTTGCTTCAGATGCTGGATTTTGATTACATTTTCATGAAGAAGAACTAGTTTAAATTTTTTATGTAGGTCTATTTAAAAGTATCAGATCAAAATTGCTTGAATATTTTCAATTTTGGAATGTACACCTTTTGTTGGTTAATTGTGTGACTTTGCCTTACTTAAAGACAACATTCGTTGAGGTGAGCTCTGTAATCTCTGATTACCTATGTTTAATTTTCCAAGTGGCAGTAAATACAAAATTTACAACATAATACATTGAACATAACTTACGGGAAGGTTGTTTGTTTCTCTTTCAATTTACATGTATAGTGTATGAGAGAGTCGACCACTCACTATGTCACGGTGAAATTGTACAATTATAATAAATTTATTCATATATAATTACGCACTACTCACATACAGGAAAAATATTCATATGTAATTATAAATCATTAGCTGTGATCCTTTTTGATAAGGGCCTGGGCGGGACAAAGTCAAAAGACTTTTGATTATGGTTCACTTTTCTATTTTATCTTTAATTTATATTTATTTATATATTTTTTGGAAAACCATTTCTAAACTTTCTCCAAGGATTTAAATACGCGGTTTGTTCGTGTGATCAAATCTCACAAAGTCCATAATCCCGATAAAAGTTAAATGGTACTTTTTTAAAACTTATATTCATATCTAAAAAAAGATGTGCAGTGAGCATAGGATTTAAAGTCCTAAAATAAAAACGACTTTACATTCGAATCTAAATTTTTATAGTTCTGAGTATTTATTTTAAGATTCCATTTTTTATTAAAAAATTCGCCATAAAAATGATACAGCATTACACAGACAAGTAAAACAACTTCATTAAATTGAAAATGAACAAATATAGTTGAATACAAAAAATTCCTAGTGGTAAATCAAATTATGTTTATTAATTTACTTACCGGAAAGCTTGATTTAATCTAAAAGTCTTCGGGACAATTGAAAAGGTGTTGCTTCCTTGAATGGTAAAGGCTTTCTATCGATAGAGTTTTTTTTCTCAAAGTAACAGCTTGTACAAGGATCGCGTTTAATGCATTTACACACTAAGATTTATTGCCCAGCTTCTTTATTATAACTGAATATCTGACCTTGTACAACACGTGTCAAATTATACAGGAAACATCGCCGCGTGTCCAAGACATCGAACGCGGACAGGGAAAGAGCGCACCGGAAAAATGGTACATGTGAGGAGAGGATGTAGATGTATACAAATGATAATTCTGAAGTCTAGAGAGAACAGATCGTAATTAAGATTAAAAGAGATATATATTTAACAAAATTATTCAATTTCGGATTTTAATATCAGGTACTAAAACATGTTGGCGAGACTAATCCTTGACCCTAAATCAAAACAAGGTCAAGGAAATATATCTATACATCTGGTCATCGCAGCATCCAGGCTACAATTTTGAAACGACTAATTATAATGCAACTTTAAGTATACTGTGGAAAAAATGTGTTACAATCTTTATTCAAGGTCACACTCAAAAGTCAAGGTTACTAGCAAAATCATCAAAGATTTTAATCGCAGAATGAAATATTGAATATAAAATAAACTCAAATTTATCTATATACATGTATATTAACTTATCTATGGTCCTGATTCAGAGGAAAATCCTACATTGCAGTGTCGTTACAAGATTTATGAGAAAGGTAAGGGTGCATATGAGAGTTTGAATCCTTTTTTAGGGGATCCGATCGCACCCAAATCATATCCTACCTCTTTTCAATGACTTTGTACAGACCCAGTGAACATGTACCAATTTTGGTTGGGGGAGGGGGCAGATATGAAAACTTCCGTGACAAGCCTTAATAAGATGTGCTTGTCGAATACTGATGCCCCGGTATGGCAGATCAATGCCAAGTCAAAAGTTTTTCAAATGTAGGCCAAACTCCAAGGTCAAGAGTTTAAAAATCTTGATACCCAATAAAAGGTCTTGTAATAAGGAATACAAAATTAATGTACTCTGTATATCAAAACCCCAGCACCAACCATTTTAAAAATTACGGGCTAGGTTACAGTTTTGTCGAATAATCGAACAGGTAAAAAGACAAACAGACGGACGGACAGTCCGAGAATTACCGGTATATGCCCCTTCTTCTATTTATTTACTTTTATTTATATATCCTTTATTCAACAGGGATATAAATAGCATTAGACGTAACTAACACTATTGCCTTCTATATTGGTTAGTATTAATTGAAATACTGAGAGGACACAACAATTTATAAGTTTTGTTTACTGTTGTTTGTATACATGTTGTTTCACGTTCCTCTCGAGAATTTTTTACTCATATGGAGACGCCTACAGTTGCTGGTGGAAAGCTTCAAATTCTGTTCTATCCTCGGCACTCAGAGCCTTTGAGCAGGGAGCCTCGGCGGTCTTTTTCATGCCAGCACCTCTGCGACACGGGACCTCAGTTTATACGGTCTCATCCGAAGGACCGGTCTCCACGTCTCAGAGTGGGATTCCAACCCGCGACGTAAGGATCTACTCCATACTTCGCGACTCTAGAGCAGACTGCGCCATGCGATCGACTGTTTTCTGTTGAATATGGTACATACATCTTTGACAAAATTATTGAAACATCTCAGATGGCTTAATTTGAAAGAAATTATTATGCCCCTGTAATCACCGATGGGGGTAAATAGTTTATGTCCAGTTTGTCCGTCTGTCTATTTGTTTGTCCGCAAAAACACTTTTACCCTGCCCATAACTATAGGAAGGTTGAAGGTATGGCTTGAATATTTGACATGTTCATTTCTTGTGACACGATCTTTCTTTGGGTACCAACACAGTAATATTTGACATCTTTACCTAGGAGTTTAACATACTTTAGCAAAATGTTGCCAAACTTTATCTTTGGCTATATAACTTTTGATTATATAAAGCTGGAGATAGATTTTTCATATTTGACAAGTATATTTATTGTGAAAAGACTTTTCATTGCCATTGGATAACTTATTTGGCCTTTTGATTTTGACTTCAGAGCTTGACCCACTTAAAAAAAAAAACAACGTACATTGGCCATAACTTTTGAACAAATAGAATAGCTAGGATTCTCATTTTTCACAATTCTATTTCTTTTGAAAAGACTTTCATTTAGATACCAACAATTTTGACCTTGATCTCATAGCTTGACCTACTTTTGAAAACTTTAACCTTGACCATAACTTTTGAACAGATGGTGCTAGGGTTTTTATATTTTCCAGATGTATTCCCAGTAACAATCCCTCCCCCTACGCATCACTGATTCTTTTATCCTAAGGCCTGAACTTTAATTAATCTTGGAGTTCGACCAACTTTAAAAGCAATGAATTTTGAGTGTAACTTTTGAATGCTCGGTTTTAGATTGGGTTTTCATATTTCACAATATTCATTCCGACAAGTCCTTTTTTTGAA